ATTTTTATTTCTGGTATTTTCTTGTAAGCAACTGAACTGTTTTAAATGTGTATTTAATGCTTAAATATTTAAAAACAATGAGGCATTTCTCAAACTTTAAAATCGTTTATGAGTCAAATCCCATTTATGTATTAGATGTACTGAGGCGAACTGGAAAACTGTTCTGGTCAGACTAATCAAAATCTAAAGATTTTTTTTGGAAAATCATGGACACAGTGTTCTGTGTCCGGAGTGGCTGTGGTGGGGCCGGAAAGTCATGGGTTCCATTCCCTGCCATGTTGTCTTTAAGCAAGACACTTAGGACTGTTAAACAACTAGAATCAGACATAAATGAAAGAACTCCTCCAAAAACTCCTTAGTTCTTCGACGTTTCCAGACGGCTGTTAAAAAAGAAAAAAGTTCTTATCAGGTCTGTTTTTAGATGCATTCAAAATGAAAATTACTTTAAAAAAGAACAACATAGCTTTTTGCAGTTGATATGTTTACTTTTGTCGTGATTAAAATATGGGTTTAAGAGTTTTCAAATCATTGCTTTCTGTTTTAAATAACAACCTTTTATGGAACTGGGGTCATAAAATAAGCAAATCTAACCTAATAGGCCCAAATATTTGAGTGTTATAACAAAACCGTGAGGAATGTTGTCCAAAAAGTTTCAGCTGCAAAACTTTTTCACTGTTTTTGTGAAACTTTAACTCTTATAAATGAATCTAAAGCTAATAAGCAAATGTTGAAAACATTTTAAATGCTTACAATGCAAAAAGTAAAGATGGCAAACAAGCAAAATAATTTATTATTCTAAGAAACACACAACTGAATCATTAAACGCCGGAGTCCCTGTAGCTTTTAGCAGATATTTTATCTCATCTCAGGTTAAATAAGCTGCCCAGATATTTTAAAATAAAAGTTTCATCCTGAAATCCATGCAGCTGTGCACAACAAGAACCAGATGTGGCAGAAAAACTGTTTCCCTACAAACGTCCCAAGACAGAGTGCGGAGCAGGGTGGGGGGTGGTGTCACGTGGCCCACGTGCCGGTAAAAAACCTGCTGCTTTTATAAAGACAAGAGCCGCTCAGAGGAACCAGAAGCTCCCAGCTCAGCCTCAGAGTGCCTCTACCTGCAGGAGAAGTAAAGATGGACGCTGCGTACAAGAGAGTGAACGGAACCTACAGCCCGGAGGAAGAGCCAGAGACCCTGGGGACCCCGGGGACAGGGGTAAAATACACCTCATTACATGTTTATTAGTTATTCCTCTCAGAACCTGTCAGAAAAAAGAGTTTTTATTGCTGCTTGGCTAGAAAATTCCATCACACAAAGGAGAGAAGATCCTGGATTTGTAATGAATAGAGAACAAAACGGCTGCTGTGAGTGAAAAACTAAACARTGACTTTGTTACTATCTAGAACTTCTATTTAGAAGACAGATTTTTACTAATTATTTTGCTTAAAATTTTAACTGCTTAAAATGGTTTTAATTTATTTATTTTGAGTCTTAGATTAATGAAATCTGTATTTGAAGATTTCATGACTTGTCAAAAGCGAATTTTTCACTCTTTACTTAACAGTTGGGGGTTTAGTGTTTTATCACGTATTCTATATTTTATTTGTTTGTACAACAGCTTTGATTTTCCTTCTTAGTCACTTTAAAATTAATGAAATGTAGAGGTTAACCTTTAAAGACTGAACGATGTAAAGCATTAAGATCACGTCCTGAAACTCAAAGCCTTAAACCAGATTTCACACACAGACGCTCATTTGGCTTAGAAACAGACGCACCAAATTAAAACAGGACCCCCGTGAACATCTTTTGTCTGTTTTTCTTTCCTTCTTTTTGTTCTGCAGAAGAGAAGAGGCTCGTATTTGGAGGAAGAGACCAACAAGAAATCAGAGGTGATTTCCTGCATCTTTTCTCTGAAAGAAGAGGTCGGAGCTTTGGCCAAGACCCTGCGGCTCTTTGAGGTAAAAAAAAACAAAAAAAAAACAGCTTAGCAAAAAACATATAGAGTCTTTTGCCTTTGTTTGTTARCAAAATATTTCATAAACCACTCAACAGATTCTATTATTAGATATACATGTAGAACTGATGGAGTCAACACAAATCAAAATGGCTTCCGCAGCTAATTAAGCTTAGCAAACACAAAAATAGCTAGCCAACACTTAGCGTGGTAGCAGCTGAGACTGAGCGCTAACAAATCACATGTGCATTTGTTTAAAACCTCAACATTAACAGTTACTGTCACTTCTGTCTGTTAACAAAATATCTCATGAACCACTTGATGTTAATGTAATCACAGAACCACTTTTGGAGTAAATCCTACTCTATTCGTTGCCACTGCTAATTGATCATAAAAAACCCAAACATGGCTGAATCTCAAACAGCTTTACAAACACCGGGCTAAAGTTTGGAGTTCTTGTAGCCGAGACTCATTCCCAACACATATTCTAAGCAAATGTAACAAACTGCACATGAGCTTGCTATACGGGTTAGGAAAAAAACAACAACATTATTTTTAAGTTTTGACCAGAATGTCTATAACTGCCTTTCTTAGAGTAACATGATCTTAGTTTAAAAGTCTGGCAAAAATAACTTGCAAGAAATTTTCAGTGCTGTGTTTTCTTACAGAAAATGATTACAATCTATTTGAATAGAATAAACAAATAACACAAACTGTAAAAAAAATAAAATACAAAAAAATTAAAAAATAATCACGCCCTTTTTTTGAGCCAATCAGAGGGACTCAGTGACGCAATCTCAGGCGTCTCATGTTCACAAAGTTACAGATTAACATAACAACAAACACCTGCAGAACCGACCAATGAAAATCTAAAACCATTTATCAYGTTCACATTATTTTCATTGATTTGTTATTTTGTCCCTGGAGTGTTTGAGCTGTTGTGTAATATTAAAGATGACTGAGAGGTGTTTCTGTGTCATGTTATGCCTTTTACAGACCTTTAAAGAAYTGATCCTATCTCAGATGTTAGGGTATTGGTCATGTGCAAACATGGCAAGTATTGATCCGCTGACTCATTACCTCAATACACACAGACCTGCTAGGAAATTCAGTGTTCCCTCASTGATCTGGAACTGATGGCTAAACAAGTTATAAATACATCTGGATTGACTTACAAACTTTAAAGTGTATTAATACTGAGTAAAATACTCAGAGTTTAGAAAAGTGTGTGATARTTAACAAGTAGCACTGAAACAATTCTTTCTTTAATWTGTCAAGTTTGAAMTAAAAAACCCAACAGCTGCTTTTCCAGGAATGAGTCTAAATCCTACATTTCCCACAGTGCACCTCTTCCACCCCTTTGTCTTCAGTGTCCACATCTTCCAAGCTGAACAGCACTGATGATGTCCAATTTTTTTTTTTCTGAAGAGATTTCTAACCCCTATAAAACCCGGAAACATCTTTGTAGCAGCCATAAAAAAACAAAAAAAAACAAAAACAAAAAAAAAAACAGGTGAAGTTCTGTAAATGTTTGCTTCAAGGTGCACGCTGTTCTGCTGGTGAAAAGATAAAAATTTAACCATAGCAAAAACATAAACRGGGGGAACGTCAAAATAAAGGGTGTTTTAGGTTAAATAAATATACTTTTGAACAGAACAYGTGTTCACTGTCATAATCGGTTGTGGAGACATGAATGTTTTGACGCTGATCAATACCCAGTTTGTGCCAAATTCTGCCCTCAAAATGCAGCTGTAAACATCCTGGTTGAACCTATGAGCTCCCTCCGTGCTGATCCTCCCMCTTCTCCACCCACCCACGCCCCCCACAAACTCTTGTCTATTTAGCTCCTCTATAAAAACAGAGCAAATGCACAACCCTCCCATCTGAAAGCAGGAATGCTCGTTGTCTCATTAACGCAGGTTTGAGGAGAGAAACAGCTTTTCCCTGCTTTGTGAAGCCATGTGGCATCCATCATGTGTTCCTCTCTCGTGTCTAATCTGCTTCATTCTAAAAGTCGTCCATTAAAACCTCCACGCTGCTTATCGGCATGGGACTCCGGTGCGCATGTGACCCAGCAGCGTGGTTTTCTTGTGACGAGTCACGCTGGATGCCAAACCTCGACCCCRTCGCCTCAAAGCTGGAGCAAAGGCAGCAGCATCCCCCAGCCTCACGGAGGAGGGGACGGCTCAGAGGGGTACTGAAATCTGACATTTTGACCTCCTGCGCCCTGCTGGGTGTGGGATTTAAACTCACTACGTGAAGCTAGGAAAGCACACTAGTAGCTCAGACAATAAAATGTGCTCAGAACAGCAACTTTAGTAACGTTTCTAAGCTTCAGTGTTGAACTGGGGTCAAATTTGACAGCTAAAATACTCATTTTATTTAAGCTTTAACATTTGGAATTCCTACATTTCATACATTTGTAAGGTCTAAAAAGGCAATTGTAACACATCATAAAGTCTCATTTCCTGTCAGATACCAACTTGGACTCATCATTGGTCATATCAGAACCACAATCCCCCTATAAACCCACTGAAATGCTGAATAGGATCCAGATGGGCGCAAACCCGAGGCCCCCTTTCACGCCCTCCGCTTCATTGAGCCTATAGTAGACAGAGAACAACATACTCCCTCTCCCTTTCTAAAGGTTACATAAACAAGAAAACATTTAGATCACACGAAAAGCACTGTAGCATGTGTGATTGGCTCCGTGCTTGAGGGTCGTTAAGAGGAACTTGTAAATTGCAACCAGAAGAGCCCAGTGATTTTGGGGTTGTTGCTGTAAATGTAGAGCTCAGTGGTGTTTGTCTCATCTCATGCAGGGTGTCCTGAATGCATTCATTGTACCAATTTTTGTGTGGCTGGCTCAGATTCAGTTTGCAGACAGAGTTCCAGGCTGATGACAAGAGGTCAGAGTGGACTCCACACATGGTCAGATAGACTGCCATCAAATTAGGAACAAAACACCACTCTCTAGTGGTGGAGAACAAGAAGTGCGGCAGCTTACTACTTTCTATTTTTTTACATTTCTGTGATTATGAAACCAGGACAAAATGTAAAAATTCTTCTTTAGTCTTGACACATTCCTTGTTTCTTTGCATTTTGTCTCCAAGCAGCCAGACCTTTTAGTAAACCTTTAAAGTGATCAGGATCAGCTTGCTTTTTGAAGTTCTTTCAGAGTTGTTTGTTGGACTTTGGCTGCTCATCTTCGTACTTGATCATTTTCATAGGTATATTTGCTAAGCCACTTATCTTTGACCTGATGCATCTCAGTAATCCAGGTAAAAAATCAAAAGGAAAAAAGTTGTATAGGTCCTCTGGACGGGTTCTTCTTTAATGAAACGTTTCGTCTCTCTTCCAAGCGACTTCTTCAGTCTGAGAGTTTCAGGCAAAATTCAGGCTTTTGAGTCCTGCCTCCAGGTGACTGATACTCACATCACATGGCTATCGTTCACACCTAATTAATACCTATTGTTAACAGGGGGTGGAGAGATACTGCCAATGGCAGCGCTGTAGGAGGGGGACAGCTGAAAACGGAGGCCCCCACCTCTGTTTAATGATGGACGGTCTTTCTTCACAAAAATGGCTTCTTTTACTCCTCTCTCAAACCAACGTTCCTCTCTATCAAGAATGAGAACATCCTCATCTCTGAAAGAGTGACCGCTGGCCTGTAAATGAGTGAAAACTGCAGAGTTCTGCCATTAGAATTAGCTCGTCTGTGTTGGGACATTCTTTTGAACAATGGTTGCTTTGTTTCCCCGATGTATAACTGKTCGCAGTCCTCCTGGCACTTAACAGCATATACAATATTGCTCTGTTTGTGCCGGGGCACTGGATCTTTGGGGTGAACCAGCCTTTGCCGTAATGTGTAATGGACAAGTGCACCCCACTTGTCCATTATCCCATTTAATAAGAACAGTGCACGAAAAAATATAAGGCACTTATCTTTGACCTAACCCATGAAAATGTTGCTGAAAGGGATGAACAAGGGTTGTGTTGATACATAACAGACATGTTTAATTGTTATGGTGAATGAGGATGGATAAAGAACTCATATGAGTGGGGGCCATCTAAGTGGGCCCATTGCTGTCCCCAAAAAGACCTGGTCTTTATCCAAACCTTTGCGTTCCTCAGATGAAGGACACGAGGTTAGAAATGCTGTTTTCTGAGCTTCTCAGGATCCAAAAAGGGGTCCTCAAGATTCATTTTCCTTTGACTGCTCAGAGCCAGGCAGTGGTAGAGGTCTCTAATTCAATGCCACAGGCATCACACAGACTGTCATAGAGTCCCATCACCATTGGACTCCAAGTTTTCCTTATCAAGGCAATTAGAGCTTTCCCAAAACCAAATTTTTGCCATTTATCAGTTCTCTCACMCATCTATAGTCCGTCAGCTCCCTCCAGAAGATTGAGTGTTGATGTCTAAATCCAGGCCTGTTGGGCCRTCCTACAGACTGTTGTWGAAAAACCTACAACAGGCTCTGGGCCTTTAAAAAAGGTATTTTAGCATAAATGCAACAACCATGATGCATTTCTTTGGTACAGTGTAAGGTCTTTGCAAGATTCTTTCCTATCATCTTAAAACCGTCATTTTCAGACCCTTCATCTGCTAAACATAGTATTTTAGTGCGCCCCACTTGTCCATTATCCCATTTAATAAGAACAGTGCACGAAAAAATATAAGAGAAAGAACAAATAAGCAATCTGTTAGAGCAAAAAGTGTCTCCCAACTACAACCACACCTATGTCAGCTCAGTGTTTGTACATTTTGACTAAGTTGTAGCTATTATTGTGTATTTTTTTTTCTTTATTGACATTTAAAAGCAACAACTCTGTTTGACACTTACTTGTTTTGTTGTGCGTAGGAGAAGGGCATCAACCTGACCCACATCGAGTCCCGCCCGTCGCAGAGGAACATAGAGGACTATGAGTTCTTCATCAGCGTAGACCCCAGCTGCTCCCAGGCTCTGGACGAGGTGATCGACGGCCTGCGTACGCAGATCAGCGGCCACGTGCACGAGATGTCACGCAACAAACAAAAGGACACGGGTTAGTGAGGGTTTAACCCACTCCCATTAAATTTCCATGGAATTTAGGAAACGAAGACTATTATAACTCGGTCAATTTTACAAATACTGCACTCAAGTTTGGTGCTCTAGTAGCTGAGAGTCATCCCCAAAACATAGTCTGAGCCCTGACCAGATTGCATTTAATTTTTGGGTTGTTAGGGAGCAGTAAGGGAGCCATTTAAAAAAAATAAATGCTAGTTTCTTTTAACCTGTATTGTTGTCAGAATTAGTGTTTATTTCTATTGCAAGACTATTTTGTTACATATCAAAAGTACTTCGCTAAAGAAGTGTCTAGTTATTGTTTGGCTCTAAACATACTTTGGTAAAATCATGAAAGCAATACGGTTAGGTGTTAAAATTTGCAACAAATTACATGAAATTGGGGAAAACTCTGCAATAAATGAGTCTTCAATGAACAACAGTTGAAATTTAGCTATTATGGTAATTTATGTGCATTTATATTCATGGAATATTGATTAAAGTGCATTACCTTCAAAAAAATTAAGAAAATAAATGAACTGAAAATAAACTATTATTTTTGAGTGGATTGCGACCAGGCTAATCAGATGCCAGTCTGATAGGAGGGTTAGATTAAAGAAAAATGAGAGAGAAATAATTGAAATTTAAAATCTGGCATCATTAGACCCACCCAGCAACTCTGGCTCAGATAAATCTAATAAAGCTTACACTAATGCTGCTGAAATATCCCATTTATCAAACAGGGACAGTGCTGGGTGTTTGACAGCAGCCAGACTTGGTAGCAGACAGCCAGTGTCGCCAGCAAGACTGATGCTCTCTACTCCGCGTTTAGACCCATTTATTAGTTGTTTCCAGAAAGACATTAGTTTTTCTGGCCTCGTGTTAACAGAAGACGCCTGTGTCTCGGCCCCAGAATAACACAGGCAGGGAGAACATGCCAAGGTCAGGGCGATTTGAGATGGACAGGGCCACCAAGAATCCTGCTTTGGGTTCCATAGATATTAAGCGTCGAACGGTCAGGGTCAAATAGGAGGTATTTACAGCCTGTTTTGGAGACAGCCTGTTTGTAGAGGAGGCTAATTCAGAGTCTGTTGTCCTCGTGGGGCCCCCCCAGGCTAGACCACACTGCATAAATGCAGATTAATAACTGCTACAGTGTTTTTCTGTGTCATAAATCTATCGGAACAAGCAGACGCCCTTCATGTATGGGGCCACGGTCAAGCTAGTTCAAGTTTAATTTGTAAAGATTTCTGCTGTAAGGAATTATATCACTTAAGTATAAGATTAAAAATTCAATGTAATATAACTGTTATTCAACTTTCAAGCTAAAAACTTATTCCCACTTCCTTTGTTTCAATGCAAACATGTTGAAATTTCAAAAGATGACTAAATTCCAATCATCCCAATTATAATACAATACATTCACATGATGAAATGCTGAATAGAAGAAGATTTTTTTAAGGAACCAGTAAATTGTGTCACATTTCGACTTTGTTAGTTTCCCATCCTGAGCAAGCAGAAGGTGACAGTGGAAAGGAAGAACTCCCTTTAACAGCAGTAAATATAAATACAAACATGGAGAGTAGAGTAAGAAGGAGAGTGAGGAACTGTGGTCAGTTTGTCCTCCAACAGTTGACTATGGCAGCATAGCTATAGGATAGTTTTAGAAACCCTAATTATAGGATTTATCAACAACAACAAAAAAAGCCTAGTCTTAAAAGGGGACCGGGTGTCAGCCTCATAGAGGAAAACTACTGTAGAAGTTGTTTTTGATAAAAGGAAATTCTGCCACCTGTTTTATTTTTACAAACTCTAGGAATCACGAGTAAACCTGCTGTCCGAGATGAAAGTGCTCTATTAGGAAAATATGAAACATTAAGGTCTTTAACATAAACTGGAGCTTGGACATGTGATTTTAAATTCTATTCTGAGTTGGAYAKGGAGCTTTTTGGATCAACTGAAGACATTTTAAAGTGTTTTTTTGGACACCCAGATAAAAAGWCCACCCTAGAAGTAATCCTGGTAACATTATTAATGTGCAAGTTAAAAGACATATCCTGGTCAAAAAAACTCAATCTAAGGTTTCAGTTTGAGTTCGAGACATTGAGTGTTCTTTCTGAATGCAGAAATCTAACCTGACCGCTACAGAGTTAATAAAAAAAATRTCAATGACTTGCAGTTCCATGGTTCCCTAAGGACATCCAGGACCTGGACCGTTTTGCCAACCAGATCCTGAGTTATGGCTCGGAGCTGGATGCTGATCACCCGGTAAGTTGTGAGTCATCCATCACCTCCTGTTTACCACATCCTGCCTCCGCGCAAGTGTTTTGTGAGAATACATTTACGCCCACACGGCTCATGAAAAGCAGYGCTGCAAAGATGACAAGGTTTGCGCTACCATCCTTTCTAATGGAAAGTGAACACACACACATAAACTGATGTCAGTGCTTTAATTGAGCCCCTGTAATTATAGATAATTGCTCCCTTTTGCCACTGCAATTAAAGCAGAATTGAATTCATTGTAAACTGAAAAACCCTCCACAAAGGCTTCATTTAAATATGTATGTGCACGCTCTTGTGCATAATGTTGTCAAAGGCCACAGGGTTTGGACTCAGCAGAGGATTTCCACACTTTGATTTTGCGATCCTGAGATCTAACGTGTCTTTTCTTCGTGCGCCTTTAGGGGTTCACAGATCCAGTGTACAGATCCCGCAGGAAGGAGTTTGCGGACATCGCCTACAACTACAGACAGTAAAAACTGAGTTTTAGTTATGAATTTTATGCGACCTGCCAACATCCTGGTCATTTCACCTATAATCCACTCCTAACGTCACCTTTGTTCCAGTGGCCAAATCATCCCCAGAGTGGAGTACACAGAGGAAGAAAAAGCCACGTGGGGCAYAGTCTTCAAAGAGCTCAAGACTCTGTACCCGACTCACGCCTGTCGTGAACACAACCGGGTWTTCCCCCTGCTGGAGAAGTACTGTGGCTACAGGGCAGACAACATCCCGCAGCTGGAGGACGTCTCCCGCTTCCTACAGTGTAAGTTCTGTCTGGATGGAGACACCCTGACGTCCCCTAGATCAGGTTACACATCTTAAACAGGACAGACCCATGTTTTGCATTAGCTGTTACAGATATTTMGTTTTTTTTCTTGCTGTATCTTGAAGCAAAACCTATAATAGTCACAAAATTAGGCATAAAATCACATTTACTTTTTGTCAGATGAATACAATTTGTTTAAAAACTCATTGATCCTTGATGAGCATATTGACAATAGACAAAAATCATCAGATAAACAGAGAAAAAAAAACTGTCAAATTTAATATAACCTTTCTGGCATGTGCAAAGAAAACTACGCAATGGTTTATTTTGAGAACCTTGTATTACATCTATTCTGATGGACTGTATTAATCTAGATGCATACATCATTTTTGCAAGTTGGAATTCAGTTCCAGTTGATTTTTTCATCTTTGAACTAGAAATTCTGATGTCAAAGTGTACAAATGAAACAAATCAAGAAGTCATTTATGTTTAGATTAATTTAAATGCAGTTAAAATATCTAGCTACCTTTTTTTCCTTGAGGAGGAAGGACCTGTTTAAATGGCCCACTTCCTGTCTTAATTCAACGCCTACAAAAACCAAATGAAACTCATCCTCTGGTCTTTTTATCCCTTCACCTCTCTCTCTCTCGCAGCGTGCACAGGGTTTCGGCTTCGCCCCGTCGCCGGTCTGCTTTCGTCCCGGGATTTCCTGGCTGGACTTGCCTTCCGCGTTTTCCATTCCACGCAGTACATCCGTCACGGCTCCAGGCCCACGTACACGCCTGAGCCGTGAGTGTGGAGAACCTTGCATTAGTCATAATCATAAATAATATATATAACATTTATTTACACATCATCTCTCAAACAGAGATGTCTGCCATGAACTCCTGGGACACGTTCCTCTGTTTGCTGACCCTAGTTTTGCCCAGTTTTCACAGGTAACTTTATCAGTTTAAAGCAGAAATAAATAACCCAACTTRGATTTAATACACAACTAAGTCTAAATTGTTATAAATGGACTTAACTGTCTAATTTATGTACTTTTACTTGGCTCTACGCAGGAAATTGGTCTCGCATCTCTCGGTGCCCCAGATGAATACATTGAGAAACTTGCTACTGTGAGTATATAATGAATAAAACCACAGAATAGGATGCATTYATTAACACATTTTAATCAAATTCAACAAAATACTACCAGAGGAAAACAAAATCTAAACATTAGACAATTCAGTGAGATTTTGGGCAATTTAGGACTAAAACTTGTATTTTTAAGTGAAAAATACCTGTTTCTTAATACTTTGATATCATTCATTCTGAGATTTTACAAAGAATTAACCACCATTTTTAATTTAATTTCAAAATGTAAATTAAGTTTAAGCCAATAGTATTAGAGGTTAATAGAATCTTAACATTAGACAATTCTGTGAGATTTTGG